GCCTCCAACCTACTTGCGATGGCCTCCAACCTAATAGCGATGGCCTCTAACCTAATAGCGATGGCCCCTAACCTACTTGCAATGGCCTCCAGCCCAATAGCGATGGCCTCCAACCTAATAGCGATGGCCTCCAACCTACTTGCGATGGCCTCCACCCTAATAGCGATGGCCTCCTACCTATAATAGCGATGGCCTCCAACCTACTTGCGATGGCCTCCAACCTACTTGCGATGGCCTCCAACCTAATCGCGATGGCCTCCAACCTTGTAGCGATGGCCTCCAACCTACTTGCGAAGGCCTCCAACCTAATAGCAATGGCCTCCAACCTAATAGCAATGGCCTCCAACCTACTTGCGATGGCCTCCAACCTACTTGTGAAGGCCTCCAACCTAATAGTGATGTCCAACCAACTAGCGATGGCCTCCAACCTGATAGCGATGGCCTCCAACCTACTTGCGATGGCCTCCACCTAATAGCGATGGCCTCCAACCTACTTGCGAAGGCCTCCAACCTAATAGCGATGGCCTCCAACCTAATAGCGATGGCCTCCAACCTACTTGCGATGGCCTCCACCTAATAGCGTCCTAATACTAGTTGCAGGCCGACATCTCTAAAATAGACTGTTACTTAGTTTACAGACTAGACTGTGGACTGACGGCCATGTGCTTTTTCCGACCGCATCGACTTGGTTGACTGGGAAAATCATGTGAAGCAACCGACCCATCAGACCCGCTGGGGAAGCAGCAACCCCGCTGGAGTTGTTCAGCGTAAAGAAAGAGATGTTCACTTGAACCATTTCATGCCACCCTGAGAATCCGGGCCCTGAAGCACAGTTAGGCTTTTGAGGGTACGGGCCCCTGCTTGGAGGTCCCGCGACCCCTGCGCTGGAGGGCCCAAGGATTCCAGGACCATCCTGTCTGGGTGTCTTGGCTGGAGATCCCGGATAGTAGTGTGGAGTAGTCTCCATGGTGCAGCCAGCACAGCCAGACAGGATGGTCCAGGTAGATGTGTTCCAGGGGTGACGAAACAATCTGGTGGAGCGTTCAGCAGCGATGGACACCGCTTCTGAACGCTTCTCTCTCTCTCTCTCTGTCTCTCTCTCTCTCTCTCTGTGCCAAAACGTCGGTGTTGTGACATGGCTGAAACCATGACATACGACTGTGGGTCAAAACCGGGACCCCTTAGTCCCCGGTAGGTTGACCTCCCTAGTAGTCTATTCTGTGCATCTTCGGTAGTCAACCAGGGTGTGTCGCAGTTTTGACCCACTGCCATACGCTCCATGGAAGTGGACGGCATGGCCCATGGCCCATGACCCTTTTCCTCCAGGTGGTTTTCCACTTCCATGCCTTCGTGACTCGGAGTGTAAGCCTCAAATTCTGTACCAGGCCAATCCCCAGTATGAATTAACACGGTCCATGGTGATTCGACCAGTGTGCTCACCAATGTAAAACCGTCAATGTGCTCACCATGACAAGTGATGGTGGCAAGATGGTGACACTTCCTGGTACCTATGATACTCTAGGGCTCTCGGATCAGGTTGGTCTACCCCGAACCATAGCGTCTACCCCGTTTGGGTCTAAGTGAAGCCATAGCAGCTGGACTGCATGGAATTCTGGCTGGAACCTTCTTCACGGGATCTTGCCAGGCTTGCTGACCTTGTGAGGTTGATCTGAGCCCTCTTGACTTCCGCACTGTGTTCCCATTCTCCGAGGCCGCGAACATACGACATCAAGCAAGGCCACAGGAAATCTCCATGCGCACGGCCAGCGTGGAGTTAAAGAGACCAAGTGAAATGCTTGGGAACGTTCCCAAGAGGTTTTACCACTTCAACTGGCTGTTGAAGAATCTTCGTGAATGTCATGGTTTGGATTCTGTTTGTGTGCAAATCTCAGAGCAGTCTACACAGGATCTGTGCAAACATCACAAAGCTGTGCTTTAGCTGCTTTAGCTGTTCAAGATTTGTGACTTGCTTCCTTTCATATGAGATATCCTTCCCTCACCCACAAATTGGCGTACAATTGCCTGCCTTGAGCCCATCGAGAAAAAGGTGCAAACGCACACGCTTGATCCAGTCACCCAGTGGTCGGGCACGTAGTGCGTCGCACGCAGTGCGACGTGAGCCTCTTTTCAACCACAGGGCGCCGAACAGGAGCCCATTCAGGACCACAGGGCTACGAACATTGCAGCTGAAAAATGGGCAACTTTGCGCCTGGGTGGTCGAGCTACAAGCGATTGGGACGGTCACAGCGGTTGGAGAAAAAACGATTCTTCTGCTCGAACAAGTGATGCAAATGGCAGGAGCGAACCCCCAATCCAATTGATCCAAAGATCATGGAAACGCTGTGCTTGGCTCAAACTCTTGGAGGCAAGGGCCTCAAGTCCCAAAAACGTTCCAAGCCAAGCACTGGAAGAGAAATTGCAGCCACACGACCCACCGCGAGGGTCTGAGAGAGACTCAGACCGTCCTATCTCAAGAGGGCTGCCATGATCTCCGTGAGCCGTTCCTGAATTCCAATCGCCAAGGTGGATCCGAGGATCAAATAGATCCTTGGAGCAGAAATGGAGATTCAAGGCTGCCTAGGAGCATCCCCATCCACAACACTAGAAAAGTGTCTGGGATCCCCACAATACCAAAATCGGAAAAGAACAGACAAACCAATGGCTATGGCTGTGGCTCAAAAATAGGGTGCCCCCATAAAACCCCACACCTAGTTTCTTCAACGAACCACCGAACCACCTGACTAGAACCCTTCGAATTCCATCGGTTCACTCTTTGAGCCACGCAAAAACACCCCATCTCTTCCCAGATCTGTCACCCATTTCGTCAAGGCTCCCCTTGAAAAGGCTTCCGCGCGTGAAGCCCAACAACCCGTGCTGCGTCCAGATCTCACCCGCCGTCGCTCGGACGCTCGTATAGCGCACAGGATCCACCTCACGTCCGACGCGCCCGGGGACGGTGGGGGCGAACCGTCCGTTGTCGCGAACGGCGGAATCGCGGCACGAAGACGTGGCGAACGGCCGGGGAATCGATGCTTGTCCAAGGGCACGGCGACGTGGTCGGCACCGCTACGTGGTGGACCTGGCCACCTAAAGCAGAGTAGATGGCACAATTCCCAAAAGGAGGTTTATATGGGCTTTCATCAAGGAGACATCTTGGAGGTCTGTGCCATTTCTCACCTCTGAAACCTCTGTAGATCAGCAAGTGACCTTTCTGCCACGGCACCGGCACCCCCCCCCCCTCCGTTTGGAACCGGCATCCCGACGAACTGGTTCAAGGATCGTGTTTTCCCTCCCTGAAGTGTGGAGAGGACCGGGCCTCACAGAAGGATCTGAATTCTTTCCTTTGTCCTGACCAATGTTAGGAAGGATCTCTTTTGAACCAACATCCGACATGCTCTTTGATCATCTTTGATCGAAACGGAAGCCGCGACGGAACGGGCCGAAACGGGAGCCATGGATGAAAACCCCTTTGGGTCGCTCCGTTCTCCGACCGGGACCCGTGGTGCGGCGAGGTCCGATGTCTGAAGCCGGTGCCGGTATCCATGGAAACAGGCGACAAACGCCGATCCGCCAACGATTCAATACCTGACAGGAAGGAAATGAATCCTTCTTTCGGTGCATGGGAGAAAAAAGAAAACCATGGTGTGATGGCACAGCCAGGTTCGTCCCCATGCCTGCATTTTCGTCTTGATGTTGTCACCAGCCATGTTGAAGAACGTCAGGTAGGTGCCTTGCAAAGCACATCTTAGACAGGAACCCGTGACGTCCTGTTTGATCCATGCGGGGGATGTTCCTTGAAACACCGGCCATGTTCACACACACAAGGGGTGTCGACTCACCGGGGCTGGTGTTCTTGGCTTTGGGCAAAGCCGTGACTTGGAGTGGTTGGCCAAGTGGCCAAGGGCTAGGGCTAGACGTGGTATCAAGATGTGGCTTCTGTTCTCAAAGGGCTCGGTTGGTCGTCCGCATCCCAGGCCTCTTGGGGATGTGAAGGTGTTCAAGAAGAGGACGCAGTGTCCACCACCACCGTCTCAAGTCACCCTCTTACGAACAATACGACTCTATACGAGGATGGTGACAGGTGATCTCAATGAACCTCAGTTATACCAGCACCCTCCAACAGGTCTCATCTGGTGACTTTTGTAGACTTAAAAGTGTCAGGTGGTGACCTGTGAAGTCGGGTGCTGGTATATGTAATCTTAAATGAATCCATGTTTTCATGTTTTGTCGTAGACTTGTTCCACCTCCGTTCGTGTCCGTTCCACACACCTGCTGGGACTCTCGTCCTTGTCCACCCCGTTCAGCACCCGTCCGTTCCTTTCCAAACGGTGAGCACAACACAGACGTCCAAGGCTCCAAGGGTGGCAGCCTCAAAGGTGAGCACATTCGCCTGGTTCTTCTTTTCCAGACCTTGGCGCTTTCACCGCGTGCAGCGTGGAAGGACGGGAGAAGGAACAAAAAAGTCCGTGAGCGGGGGAGTCTCAGAGTCCAATTGGTGAGCGGGGGAGTCTCAGACTGAAGAAACTGGATTGATGGGAAACCAAACACTTGATGCTTTACACCTTGTTACACGAGCAAGCTCGCTGCCAATGAAACATCCGATTCTACAGTTGAAACACACATCGTCAACCGCTGCCCTTGAGTCCCTTGAGCATCCACGCTTCGCAGCCAATCCAGGTGATCTTGAAACCACTGGGGCGCGTTCTCGGGCGTTCGATCCACAGCGTTGTGGAGGAAGCGCTTCCACTCGAAGAAGGTGAAATTCCAAGAGAAGTTCCGCACCTCACCGCGTTCTCCGTTGTGCTCCGCCGGGCGCACCGCCCCGTTCCGAGTTCGGCGGAGAAGATGTTCGCGGGCGAACGAGTTCGACGCCACTTTCTCGCTTGGAGAGGGCACCGAACGCGGGCAATTTCTGGTGACGCGGTGGATGGGGAGAAACAGACAATTGTTTTTCTTGTGCCCCCGTGCGCAGGGTTTGTGGAATGGTCTGGAGACGTTCTCCGACCCTTTATATGATACAATTGTTTTACTGTAGGAGGGTTTGACTCAGCTGACCATTGCTGTGAGATCAAGTGAGGGACCGACTGCCGGTGCCAAGTGGCCCAAAGCCCGCCGGCGCCCGCCCAGGCACCCAGCAGCAGGTTGCCACGTGCCTTGTTTCGCGCGGAAATCAAAGGCGGGGATGAAGTCATCGCAGAAGTGGATGAAGATAAAATCACCCATCAACCAATCAACTACCAGCGCCCAACTCTACAGGTCTCCCAAAGAGGGTTCTTAGGCCCTGTTGAACTGAGGTCTCAATTGCTGGTAATTGTAGAATCGTCATAACACCCCCGACATGAGTAAAACCTTCAGGTCTGGCATGGTGAATATATCAACCGTCTATCAGTCTATCATGACTCATGACTCTGACTCCAAGGGATTTTGGGGAGCCGGCTCAACAAAACCGCCCATTTTGGGGGGGTCAAAACATCCAGTCGACCAGTCCACCATGGAGGTTGAGACAACACCAGGGAGGTCTGTCTGGATCCACGTCTTCACCCCACGAAAAACCTTGAGGACCCACAATGTCTGTAGGGAACATTCCAAGATGCACTCGATGTAGAATCAATTGTTGCGGTCGCGAGGAATTTCTTGGAAGTGGCGCAAGTTGGGCTGCCAACAGTGCTTAAAGTTGACATGTGTGCACAGACCGGGTCAGAGGGAACCCTCGATGGGCGGTTTCCCAAATCCGGAGTACCTTCTTTTCACTGGGGGAAGTCGTCCTGCTCCACGTCCAGGCTTCGGAGGTTCGGTAGCTCCGAAGCCTGGCACCCAGCACTGACGAGGTGTTCAGCCGGAAGGAAGGAAGAGCTGTAGCTTTCAGAAGCTTTGAGAAGGAAGACCACCCAGGTCTGGATTTTCTGCCAACGGCGGGTGAGTCAAACCCTCCTTCACCAAAACATGGTTTCGGTTGACGTACCTTAAAGGGATCCCCAAACGATCCATGCAAGCAAATACGATTATATATACTTTAAAATAGTAAATACAGTATATATCATATTGAGATATATATATATATACCAGGGAACCCAAATGTGCATTTTTTTCAAACACGTTCGCACAAAAATTCCGTGCTTCCGGCCTTTTTTGTCAAATGGACAAATTTGCTGGAATTCCTCAAAATATTGGGTTTGATCGGGTTTTATCAATATAATTTGTTTGGGTTTTTGTCAAAAAAATGTTGATAAAGTTTGGGTTTCATATGGGTTTGCTTTGGTACGGTATTGTTTTTTGTCCATACGGCTAAATACACTAATTCGTTAATAGAAATGTCCATACGATAAATTTTGTCCAAAGATGGCCTTCGCACAAAAAAAAAGTGTTCATACGCCTTTCCAGGTATATATTATATGATCTACATTCACCACCAAAACCACCAGTCATGAAACGGCCATAGAAATGCGCCACCATGAATCATCTGAGATCTGTTGACGCCGGCGTCTTTGACGTGCACCACCGGGAGACCCCGGTCTCCCCCGGCCTCGCAGGCGATGCGCAAGGACTCGCGATAGGAGCCGATCTGCTTGAGGCCTCGGTGTGTGGCCCGAAGTGTCGGCAAAGTTCGAACGGCACGCCTTGACTGCCCAGAGTCCCGCACATTCCCGCCGTGTCCGGTGGAACTTGGAATCGGCAGATGTTGCCGTGTCCGTTTATCGCCGGGGCGCCCGTCACAAGGATCCACCTCTCTAGGTCCCAATGCATCTTCCCGAAGTGACAGAAGCTCAGCGGCGAAACCCCTTCTTGGCCCAACAGCGCTGCTTCCCCTCCCAAAAAAGGGAGAGAAGCTGCACCGACCCCCTTCCGCGCAGCCTGCCAGTCTTCGTTCCACTCCTCGAAACCCCCCTCCTCCGACCCTGCACCACTCGTCCCAAGCGGCCCATGTGCACTCCAAAGCGTTCGCTCCACCCAGTGAGCGCCACCTCCCCAGCCGTGGAGAGCGCCGTGGCAGCCGCGAGCCCCCCATGAGCGCCGAACGAGGAGCGGAGCTCCTGGTAGAGGGCCATGCAGAGGGGCACCTGGCGACGGCGCCGTGGGTTCGGACGTCTCCCGTCCCAGGTTGAAGAGGCCCTGTTCCAGCCTGTGGCCTGCACGGAGATCTTCGAATGTCCGGAGCTCGCCGTTCTCGGTTACTGTAGATGAATTTGGGGGGGACTCCGGAGCTCGTCCGTCATATCCATGGTCACGCGGCGCACTTTCCCGCCCCTTCTTGGGTCTCTCCTGCTCGGTCCAAGCATCTCGATGTGTCTCCACGTCTAGATGTCGTCAGGAAGCCGGTCCGTTTCTTTCACTCTTCTTTGGGATGCAGGGTACTCAAACTTCTTCCCGCTTTCTGAGTCTGATCCCAAATAAAATCATCCGAATGTATCCGAATCCCATGTCCCTAAGGCAGCAAACACAGCAAAGACTACAACCCCCAGAACCATTCGCAGTGAGAAAACCTAGTTTCAGGTCGCACATCCCTCCCTTCTGCTCTCCTCTCTCTCTCTCTCTCTCTCTCTCCCTCTCTCTCTACCTCTCACGACCACACCATATTCATGGCGTGTACGGGTTCGTAGAAGCATGTGGCTCTGTCCGCTGGTCGCCTTCATCCCCCAATGGACCGTCTCATTCAGCAAGGTCACCTCTCGTGCACGGCCGCGGGCGCGCAGGGCGCGCGCAAGAAGCGCGCTTGCGGCACGGTCGACTTCGGCCGTGGCGTCCGAAGTCAGAAACGCTTTCGACCAATTCGGCGAACCATGGTTCAACAGTTCAACATGTCTTTTTCGAACCAGGACAGCTTCAATTCCTATCCTCCACTTCAGATGCAGCTGTTGCTGTGGATTCGAAACCCAGCGGTCTCTCCGTTCCCAGGATCCTGCCGAGGAGCTGCCGGGCGCCAGAATTTCAGGAAGCCCAGGGGCGTCCATTGCCCCGACTCCGACTTCAAATGCAGACTGGCCATAATCTGAAGCCTCAGCCCGGACGACAGATTCCGCTGGAAGACACCGAAGAAACCGACCGGGAAGATTCTGTCATGCAAGCATGAAGGTAGGCATGGTTGGACCTGGCATATTAAAGGGCGCCCCGGAAGTATCATACAGTGGAGAGTGGCGGGGATAGACTTTTTGGTGGGTGGCCGGGGCTGCCGGACACGAAAAAAGTCGATTGTGAGTGTTGGCTGAGAGTGGTGAGGACCCATCGTCGTTCTCGGCTCCACTGCGACTGAGGCACGAGGTCGGAAGGTTGCAGCTGAATTGCTGAGACGTCCAACGGGCATAGTTCAAGTATTGGAGACATAAATATTTTGTCGCACCTGAATGGTGTTGATCCCAAAAAGGTACACAGCTTTCAGGTGCAAACTGTCTAAGTAGAGGGGCTACTGACCGAACTTCATCCTTTCTTTTGGCCACGAAATGTGTTGCAAAACGACATGTTGCATGTTTTTTCACTCACCGTCTTCACCATCCTCACCTCCTTTAGCTCCGTTTAAGGCCAAAGTGGTGTAGCCAGCCGCCAGAGGGAATGGCAACGCATCCCGATCCATGGCTCGGGATAGACGCGACCTTCCACGTCACATCATCTAGAGATATAGCGATGCCCCTTGCTACTAGTAACTAGTAGCGTCTTGTTACTAGTATGGCCAGGAGCTACTAGTAGCTTCTTGCTCCTAGTAGCGATGCCAGGAGCCCCCTAGTAGCTTCTCGCTATCAGTGAATATTTAATTGTAAAAATAGTAATAGTAAAAATAATTGTGTTTAAAAAATGTATGATTTGATGTTTACAAATGTTTGCAGAGTTTTGTTTCTGATGTCTCATTTGGTGGATTTCATGTTTACGGAGTTTTTTCTGTTTATTTCATCTGTTGCATCCTGGATGTTGTATTTTTTCCGGTCGCCGAAAGGTGCAAAAGGTGCCTCCTCTTCGCGAGAAGGAGTACCGCAGACTGTGCAACTCTTATGTTCTTTGATTCGGTTCGGCTTCTTTTATCAGCAGCATGAACGTTGTGGTGCTGCGTGGTCCTCATGGCATTCCACTGGTTCAATGCTTGAAACAAGGTGGTCGCATCGGTCGTCACGTCTGGTCGTCACATTGGAACATATGCTATGTATTGCGATGTCCTCTTTCAGCTACCCTCACAAAGGAATCAAAGAGCCAGGACATATAGTGATTCCCAAATAATTACCTAGAAACGGTGTCCAATACATTTTGAGTGGGGAGCTACTTTTCTATCTATTTTGGTGGTCTATATAATGGAGCCTTGCACCGACTCACGCTTTGACTCTTGACATCCAACATCTTCGAACTTACGACATCTCAAGGCGGCCTTCTTTTTACCTTCGCCAGGTAGACAGGTGCCTATTGCTCCAGCTCTTTCAGAGCCGTTTTCAAGTTCTGAATTTCTTCTTCCCGATGGGCTTTCTGTAGGGCAGCCTCCGAGTCGGAAGACAAACATTGTCCTGCCAGCTCTTTGTGATACTGCTCGGCAGACTCAAGCCTTGGAGAAAGAAAAGACATTTGATGAGCCTACCCTGCACCCTAGGCCTACCGATAGGGGTAGGGATAGGTCGGATAGGCCTGCGGTAAGCAGGCGTCCAGGCGTCCGAGATAGGGTAGCCCCCGACCGGCCGATCCAACCCTGGGTCGACTCTACCCGTATACGAGTTCAGTTTTCGCTTTGATGCCGTGACCGTGGGATACCGCGTGGACTCGGTTGACCAACCGCTTCCGTCGCTGTGGACTCGGTGTCGTGTCTTCGGATTCTGCGCACGGGCTGCTTGAGGTGTTGGTTTTTTCTCAACTCGGAATCCGGTTTTTCCGGAGATGGAACAGTCCCAGCTGAAAGTCTCCCACCATCCAGAAATGCAGCGTCTTTGGGAACGTTTGGAACCCTCTGGCTGCAGCTGAAATGCTCTGCTTCCGAGGAAGCCAAATCAGCCTCCTTCTGGGCCAAGACTCTGCTTTGCTCCGACTTCTTCTCGTCGAAATGCTCCGCGTCCGTCTGCTTGCTGGCCTTTGGAGACCCGCAGAAAACTCAAGATCACCCCCAGGCCTGAAGAGGATGGAGTTCTCTTATCCATCTGCGATCATCTGCGTGCAGGATCGGGAGAGGTTGAAAATAATCCCATCGTCAAAAGAGAATCAAAGAGGTTGAAAAGTGAACCCCGTCGTGGATCAATGGTGGATCAAAACCGCACGTTCACCATGCCGACTCTTTCGTCTATTTGGTCATCCACGTCCCCACGTGGATGACCCAAATGAGATTCTTGGTGCGTCACCAGACAGTTTAGTAAAGTATACATGTCAAGGACATCATTTCACTGAGTCCAGTCATGCACAAACAGTACTCAATGAGGTCAGTCAGACCCAGCAACCAAACACTGGAAACCCTGCGAGGGTGGTCCTCCACGTCCATTCCCGACTCAACGACCCAAACTGCAACCAAACTTGGGTCGGTCGAAAGTGGGTCGGTCGAAACCGGGACGGCCCAAACGTTTCACCATCTGGGCACGGAGGGCGCGGAGGGCGCCCTCCAGCCAAAAATGCGCCCCAGCAAATCGCTGGCCTTGTCCGCGTTGGAGTCCGCCTTGAAGGTCTTGAACTCCTGCTCCGCCGCATTCTCCTGAGCCTTCGTCTCGGCTTCCAGTCTCGAAAAATCCCCCAAGACCGTCTCCAAGAGCTTCACCACGCCTGGCGCTTCGCCGAAACGTCACCCCGAGCGCCGGGGAGCGCGACCCAAACCGCGGTGCCAGCAGGTCGACCTTGGAACGGCACCAGTTGGATGAATGAGTCTGGGATGTTGAAGGGCTCCAACAAAACGAGGGTGATTCTGGACATGATTCTCAACTGCATGTGATGTTTTCTTGCCAAAAGAGGAGCCCAAGAAATCCTTTAGGTCATAGGTCACCCGATGGTTCCACAGATCCGCTCCACATGTGTTTGCCCTGCCATTCCGGTGGCTTGGAGTAGGGCTTCGACCCACAGCTGGAAGGGCCCAGCAACCAGGAAGGAGTCGGAAAGAGAATGAAGACACCCAAAGGAAACATACCACATGTCATACGTGTCACCTATAGGCACATGTCATGCCGCGGCTACGGGGCCCACCCTGCTGCCGTCGCTGTCGCCTGTCTTCGAGTTCTCCTGCACGAAGGAGATGCCCTCGCTCTTCTCGAAGGCATCTTGGAGGAGCTTCAGCGCCTCACAGGCCGATGACGGAACGAGGCGCTTGGCAGGAGACCCCAGGCAGGGGGCTTCGTTGGTTTCGGAACTCTTCTAGTCTGAAGGTCTTGGTGGTCTTTTCCCTGGATGGTCAGTCAAACTTGAACCACAGCTGGGAGTAACCATGAAGCAACCTACTAACCTAAACTAAAGGCAGCAGGCAAGACAGATGCGGTTCGCACTCCTCTTGGGGCGAAGTTCACTCAAATGATTCACAGTTTGTGCTCAAAAAAGCTGCAGATGCTCGAGCAGTGTCTCGGATTGGGAGGACCAACCAATGAGAGTTGAGAAAAAGGGTGTGGCTAAAGAGTCAACATCATTGCTTCGCAGGACAGTTACCAGTTACCAAAAAAACAAGAACCCCTTGATCCTCCCAGCAGTCTCCCAAAGACAGCATCCCAATCTCTCTTTTCATCTTGGCCTCGAGACCCTCATTGAAAGCTCGGACCAAACACATCCGACCAAGACCTCGACCACCGGTTCTGCACGTGGACTGCCCGGCCTCCGTCACCGCCTCCTGCGCCGCCTGCGCCTCAAAGAGGGTCCGGCGGTTCTGGGCCTTCTCGTCGCTGCGGAGGCGCGTGGCTTCCGAGAGGGCGGTGCCTGGGAGGCATCGCTTGACCAGGCAGAGGCACCGCAGCCACCAGCTCGGAAGCAGAAGTATGGGACATGTGTCCACTTGATGGTAGCCGAGGTGACCATTTTGGAGGATGGATTTATGCGATCCAGGAAGAAGAGCTAAGAGAAACAACATCTGACAAATCTATACAAATCTAGACATGAGAGGTGTGCAAGTCCTGGAATGATTTGGGCAGAGCCGTGCCAATTTCCAAAAACTCTTCCTGTTCCCTAAACAGCCCAGGCCATCTTCGGTTCAATCCCCCTCAGATCTTCGGCTTCAGGCCAACGTCGCTGATCTCAACCACGCGGCTGAGCTCCGTGATCTGCGAGGACGCCTCTGCGATGTCCTCCGCCAGCTTTGCGACGGACGACTGCAGCTGCTGAATCTCGGCCTGCAGAGTGCGTTCGGGCGACAGAGATCGGTCCGGCAGGGATGCTTAAGCCATCTTAAGGTGTAGGCGACAAATGAATCAAAGAGAAAAAGCAGAAAACAAAAAAAGTTGTGGAGGTCGGCTTCTCCCAAGAAGAAAGTTCACTTGGGTAGGTCTAACATCCCACCGGAAACTTTTAAATGGTCTGTTTTCTGTCGTGTAGCTGTAACCCATCATCCTCTGATCCTCCATAAACCCCCTGCCTCGGTTACTTTGACTTTGTGGAGGATGTGATTGGTCTCATTCCAAATGAAGATACATGATGTATATCTTATTCCAGGACCACGAAAAGGGTGGCTTATGGACGCTCTGACTGTGTGTTTCCCATCCAATAACCACCCCTTCCGTGGTCCTGGTTTTCTTTATATCATGCACGGATTTACCTATCTTGTGGCACTTAGGCATCCACAATCTATCTGATTCTGCCGGGCAGGAAGAGTTCGATCATGCTGCCACACGAATCGTGGTTGGGGGCCAAGGCCCCCACTTCACCGGTACTTCTCAACGGGTTGGACCCTCCATGGCGGCAGGTCCAAGAGAAGAAGAACTGAAACCATCTGCAACTCCCAAGCAATGAAAACAGCATTGAACATGTACGGGCGCTCGGGACAGAGACCAGGCTTCTTCAACCTTGCGAAACGCATCAAAAACCCTTCCGACACATGGCAACCCCCGCCGTGAGGCTCTCGATCTTCGCCGTTTTCTGCTTTCGGGTGCGATTGTTGAGGCTGAGCTCCTTCTGGCAGAAGCCTTCGTGTTCAATCCTGAGAAATGATGCTCCGGTCTCGGATGAACCAGGAGCCCTCGGTGACGTCTGTCCGTCTTTGGTTTTAGTCTTTTGAACCCCCTCTGACAAATGACATTGTGGTTTGCCTGGTACTGGGAAAGTCGTGAAAGAATATGAAAGCATCCTCCATTTTTGGTTTCGGACCATGACATCAACTGCAGGTCATCCAGAGTCTCCATCCAGGGTCTCCAATTGGGCCGGTTCTGCTTGGAGTCAACAGGTCTGCGTGTCCTTTTTGCCAGGTGAGGAAACAGGAAAACTCTGCCAAATGAACATCCCAAGGCTCTCACTTCGTCGCTCGGCTTCCAAGTTGGCCAAATACTTTTGCAACACCTCCCTCACTCCTTGCAGTGTCTCATTCTTGCCGGCTTCCGCATTTCGCAGCCGCTGAATCAACACGCTCAGCTGCGGCGAAAG